CCATTCTTGATTACTATACACATTGTACGATAATACTATTTTTTAGATTGTATAAAACAAAAATTTACATTGAAATTGTGAACAAATATATATAAAAAAACATTTAATAAGTTAATTCAACTTTAAATTCAGTAGCTTGTTTCATATTCCAGAGCTTTTCAGTTGCTGCATATATTTTGATACCTTATTATAGTTTATAAAATATACATTATTTATAATTCTTTTTAGCTCATCCTAAAAATAATTACGGTAGTGAAAATTTTTAGTTTGATTGAAAATATATCTTGAATGTTATATATTGCATTACATGTGGTGTAACATCTTTTGTCTCTCACTGGCCCCAAATCTTGAAAGGAGCTAGGATCTTAGTCAGCATTATGTTTTGTCATTACTGTGGGCCCCAATCATTGGACAGGGGCTCTTAAAAATGAGCATGCACAAAAACATTAAAATAGGTCCTAAAAAACGTCAGAGAGGAAGGGTGTTTTGTCCCATACCATATTAGAGTCCATGTGACCCCCCAGTAACCAAGGTAGTAAGGTCTGAACTTTTATTATGAAAACTTTGTTTTTATTTATAAAAAAAATAGAGTTACAAGATATATTATATTAGTGAAATATACATAGATGTGCAATTTGGGTAATAGGCCCATTTATACAAGTATCTTGATTACATTGTGAAATACATAAACTGAATGTATATTTTACAGTCTTATATGAATCTTTTCGGCAAGTTTATACAAGGGTTCTAGAATAAGTAAATATATCATAACAAGACAGTTATACTATGAACAAATATGCTGTTAAATCAACCCTGTACAGCAGTAAGAAAATATGTTTTATTTTTATTTTAAGGAGAGGAGGAACGCTTTAAGTGCAATTAAACCTTTATCGATTTTGTTATATTTGTAATATAATAATACCTTTATAACAGTGTAGTACATTGAATATTCACAATGGCTTTTTATGGATTGTGTGCCAACTTGTTTTTTATATATAATTTATGTATATGATATCCCATGAATATTCATTTCACTTTTTAAAGGAGTATGTGAATCAAAACATGAATTGTATCATGCTTGCTCTTTACTCAGCAATACCTTAGATTGAAATAAGTAAATAAACAGAATTTCAATTGAAATGTTTTTATGTCATTATTTGATGGAATTAGCATATTGTCATCATCTCCCAATCGTTACAATCCTTTTTAAACCAGAATTGAATAATATACAAATCCCTTTGTGAACATTTTATAGTAATGCTTCTGAACAGTATAAAAATTTAAATTTATTGTTGCCGTGGTCGTCATTATCATCATCATTATCAACATTGTAACAACCATCTAAAGCAGCTCTCATTTAGGCGTTTTGCGTAGTACGTCTTGGTAACAACTCGGCAAACTTCGGACAATTCGGGCAACTTGGAGAGAACTCGATACCTACTGTACCTAGTTTTGAGCTTATTAAGAAACTCGTAACTAGGGTAGTCCTACTGACTCTTGTAAAATTTGTTGGTGGTTTTTTATTGCCGCGTGCGTGGTGCGAGTATCTACGAATTTCTGAAGTGTTTTCCAACATAGCTACGAGTTTTGTACAAGTTCCTCGAGTCAGGAGAATATGAATCTGAATCCCAGTTTTACAATGCAAAAGCAACTTGTACTGTCTAGATTTATTGTGCAACTACCCATGCGCCTGAGCTTTGGAACTGCACACATTTTGGGCATTCGAGTGGTCGGACGATGCATTCTGTCGCAACTATCTGCCTCTAGTTTTAAGTTATGGACTCAAGACTAAATTATGAAGGCTATAATCGGATTGACAACACTTGGGAAATATTCAGCATTTATGCTCAATTTATACAGTGAATTAATCGACGTAGTGGTCATTAATCTAATTAGTGTTTCATTACTTGTATAATTTAATTTTCAAGTAAGATATTGAGCGGCTATGTCTTAACTTTGTAGAAGACTAAGCGCTTCCCGTGGACTTTCGGGTGATGTAGACCGTGACATTGCGTTTTTTTTTTTTGTTTTTTTTTGTTTGCATAATTTGCATAATTTACTGACATTTACGACCCGCTTTTTAATTTGCTCGAACTTAGACATCGGTGTTTGAGCTTTAGAAGTGGCCTATCCTTCCTTAACCACAGTTGCCATTAACACATTTTACCCACACCATAATCAAATAATGTTTTCTATAGACTTGTAGAAAATGATGTCAACACAATTTTACCGTGCTTCATAAAGTTGTAATTATGAGGAAGCGCCACCTTGGGTGTTCAGGACAGCTGCAGTAGGTGTTGAAAGCAACGGAGTTGGTGCTAAGTTTGTAGCTTTCTTCACCTGCACAATGTATCAACATTAATTCTGCAATGTTTGTTGAAACTTTAAAGGGGGATAAAGCCTGTTTTTTAAATGTAGCTCATTCAAACAACCAACCATCCTTATTGTATTTTAATAATGTTATAATTCAAATTCACAATTTATATGATAATGTTTTTATTTTAATAGATTGGATACAGAATAAGTGAGAATTATGGAATGACTAAATATTATCTTAAACGTAGAACCTGGTTTATAATCACTCAAAAATATGTTTTAATAATTGACCCAAAAAATCGTATCCTTCTGTTGGTGACTGTGCCGGTGTGGAATGCCCACGTGACCCACTACGGTAAGTAGGACAGTACTGTATATATCTCAATGTTACCTCTGAATAGGGTTGACGTTACCTCCATTAATTTAATCAAAACTGAAAATCAAATATTTTGACTCTGGCATCTTTCACCACTCCTGCACATTAACCGGCATAATCTCACCTCTTCGTTGCTAACCCCATTTATATGTCGCCGCAAACATGGGCTCGTTTGACAGAGACAACGACTCGAACAGGTGCCCCGACTGCCGTCTCCCATTTGCTGAAATCAACTTAACGTTTTACTTAGTCGGTATCTTAACTTTGAAGTACCACCCACCTGTTATTTGTGAAATGAATTATATTTGCTTTAGTTTCAGTCGAGAGGGTGTACTGTACAGCGGAAATATTCTTATCTTGATCTCATCATCTAGTTCTTTATCTCCATATAGGCCCAGGTTGTTATTGACACGACTTTATCAATTTTAATACACTAGGCCTACTCATCACTCGTCCGGTTATGTTGCTACGTGTTCTTACTTAGTGCAGTAAGTATAGCCATGGTATATCCGATTCATTATTTCCTCTAGAGCATGATAATATACTAATCGAGGTCGCGGATTTAGGCCTATTTGTCAATTTGTTTTGTAATCCTTTAATTTCAGATCTGTATAATTTTCGTTGTTAATAATGTACTGGTAAGTCTACCAACTTATAAATCGGCAGGAGAGTTTTTGTTTGTAACATGTTTTTTTAACATTCCGATGCTGTGAATTATTTGTTTGTTTTTGGATAGGCGAAATCAATTAATTGAAGTGAAGGTTCCCCATAATACTCGCTGTCAGAAGTACGCTACATAACAAGCATGTTTTGAATTGTGTTTTAATGAGAACACATTGCTTAAAAATTAAGAACGAAATAAGAACAAATTGAGACTAAGGTAAAATGTCCAATGAGGTTTTATTCTTTTTTAACTAGAAAAAGCAACTAATCCTATCTGTGCCCCTACCTGTGAGTATGTAATACCCTCTGTAATACAGTACAGTACAATCATATACAACCGTGCAATAATAATTTTTCATGTTTGAAAGGCGTATAAAGTAAGAACAAAATGAGAACATTTGAACCTGAAATCGGCAGAAACAAATATATATATATATATCATATAAGGATAGAATATTATTCATTAAATGATGAAGATGATAATGATGATGGTGATAATAATTATAGTATAAAGATAATAATGATGCTGTAGCTGTCTC